GGCAATCCTACTTCTGTAGTGATACTGCCTCGGAAACCCAAGGAGGGGTCGCTATGAGTCAGGGCTGACTCGACAGCAAATAACAACAACAACAAATTGTACTTCAACTCTATATTTGCTTCCTTAGCAAGAATATTTTATTGATAGGTGTCACACAAATAGATTTTAAAATATATTACTAACTCAATTCAAAGATTATGTCATTAAAGTTAGAATGTATGTGTGTATTTATTTAATTAATTCTGAAAAACAGAGACATAAATTTTCTCAGTCCTTGCAACATAATTCTTCCAAATTTGTATTAAAAGCATACTCATAAGAATCACCTAATTAATGAGTGTATTAATTATCCTTATTGCTGTGTAGTAGCAATGATAAATATCAGTCAGGTAATCACAGGTAGGCATGCTATAAATATGTTACATTGAATTTACTAGGCCCAATGTGCTAATCAAAGCAGGTGGCATGAAGTGAAGTAATTTACAATCTTACCCAGTAAGTTCATTAAATATCCAATTTTTACAACATTTTTATTATTCTAAGACATGCAATGCCATTTACAGGATGTTCAAGTTCTGATATGGAGTGCAATAAATCCAGTGAGAATTACAAAGCATGATGAAAGCTATATATCAATAGTGTTCTATGGAAAATTCAAAATACCAATGCAGCTCATTATCTCTCATTTCCTGAATCCAGATACTCTGATGGGATTTAATTGTTCAATCGAACCTGTCAAGAGTTCTGTCAATTTTGAAGTGCAAAGTACTCTCAATTGGGGGATTTCTCGTCTATCACATTCGCTGCTCATTTACTATAGCTACCAGTTCAGCGATGCTGAATTCCATCCTATGTAGAGTTACATGCTAGGATTTGAGGTTTCCCTGAAGTTTTGAAATGATCACATTTATCTTCTCTACAATGAAAGAAGATTAATTCATTTCCTTTTTGCTCAAGCTGACTTGTAACACTTACATGAAATTTCACTTAACTGCTAACCAGAAGGTTGGTGGTTCAAACCCACCAGCCACTCCTTGGAAGGAAAATTGAGTGATCTACTTGCATAGTGTTACCCCTTGGAAACCCAAGGGGGGTTGCTATGACTCAATGGCATATAACTACATTTAAATAATGAGACAAATATATTTAGAGGTTTGCAGAAATTTTGTACTGACTATATTGCATATTTCATTTCATAGAAAGCCCGATGCCAATCAATAGCCACAGAGATTTAGATACAGAAGG